CTGAATTGAAGAAGAGGGGGTATTGGAGTGTGGAGAAAGAGTGGTTTTGATCCACACTGAAATATTAAGGCTCAAAGTTTTATAACTTGGTGTTTATAACCTATTAAAACTTGACATGGGTAAAATGTGGTGCTTTCCCCTATTCTTCTCCATGCTCCTACTAACCCAAATACATTCCAGGATGTACCTGGGTGCAAAAGATGAAGCCTAAGCTCAGTGTAGATATGGTTATGTCAACAGAAGAATGCTTCCATTGACACAGCTAATTTCGTAGGGAGAGGTGGTGTTTCTACAGATGGAAACATTCCTTCCATTGGCATAGGCTATGCCTGCATTACAGGGTTATGCTGACATAATTACACTGACATAGCTGTTCCAGTATAGCATCTGAGGTGTACACAGCTTGAATTTGAGAAGGGAAAGCCCTCCCCCTGGGTTCCCTTCCTCTAGCCTTCTAGTGCTTTGTCTTATATTCCTGCTTTAATAAGCCCCTGGTTAGCCCCTTCCTTGCTTATCTTCAAGTGGATTTATTGTATTATGAAGCTCTTTATAATATAACTCTTTGTAATTCCATCATGAATGCCACCTGGATTTTTTCAGTCCCCATCAAAATATCAGAAGTCATTTCTCAGTAATGCTGATAAAATAAAACAAATTTGGGGATTTAGGTCTCACATTTTATAAGTGAGCTAAAAAGAGAAAAAAAAGAACAATTTTTGAAATTGAGTGCCAGGAATATTTCCCAAATATTTTTCTGAATTATAACGAAAATTAGTCATTTGACATTTCAGACTACATAGAATCAACTTTTTTTCTCTTTTCCCAATGTAAGTTCTTGAAGTTCTCCTTCTGTCAATCTGTGCCAGCTTGTTTGCTAATTTAGCAAACTGAATTCTAGCAACACTATTGATATAGGTCTAACTGATTAAATATGTTTAATTAGGTAATAGAAGAGAATAAAGTGAGGCAATACGAGTCAATCCAGAAGCTGCTGATTGAAAAGAATTCCTTCAGGCAGGCTATCAGCTACTCCGATCGCCTTAAGCTTTTCCCACTACACCGCAGGAATTCAAGCAAGCGCAAGTCAAGACCCAAAATCAGTGCCTTGCAGGAAGAGACGGAAGAAGAAGTGCAAGAGACCAGGCTGTAAGAATGGGTGGACATGCTTCCTCTTAACCGTTGGAGTGGGGCATGGGGGAATACAAATTACCATACCTCAAAAACACGAGACGCATGACCAGTACCACTGAAATCGCAGGAACACGCACAGATTTAGACTTTCAGGAGGCATCAGATACAGCTCACTAAATGACATTTATGGAAGTGGCTGCCCTCCAATGGTCAATTGTATGTGAGGCATTGCATATCCTTGAAGATTTACCACTCGTTCTGGTAAGCCAGGCTTCCATGTAAAAGCTGCTTTATTCTGGAACAAAACTAGATCATGTGCAGAGGTAGGAGCTTTTTTAGATCAACTTAATCATTTCATAAAATTTTAAAAAATGTTGTTGACGTGTGTTTGGAAAGAGGGGAAGGTGGCAGAGGAGGAATGTTAAACCCAAGGTTAATGGAAAACACTAAAATGAAAAAAAGGTACAATGGTAGTTTTGCACCTGTGACCCACTCAGAATATTTCCTCCTACTCATTCTTCATGCACTTACTGTATCTCAACACTGCCGAAAAGGGAAATATCCTTTCACAACACCGCACAGCTCCAAGCATACAAGTGAGAATGAAGGAAAAAGAGGATGTTGGCTTTCAAGCTGCTCAACATATGTCCTCCCTCAGCAGTTAAACGATTATCATGGGAGTTAATATTTCCCTTTTGGAATCTAGGAGACTTGCAAAATCTTACTGGATGACTGCATGTTAATATGGGCAGTCCAATTGGAGTAAATGGCAGGACAGCCAGCTGCTGAAGAGTTATATTCTGTGTGGTTAGGTCAGACACCTTTAATGCTTTTTATCACAGTTTGTATAAATAACAAAAACTTTGAACTATACTTAATAATGAAATCAGGTTTTATATGCATCTGTTTTGCTGTTTTCAGATGCAACTGAACTTTTCTCTAGAATATTTATTTTAATATTGTTGCAAACACTTATTACGAGGATGCTGTATTTTAAGAGTGATTAGGCACTATAAAGAAAAATATATTTGTATAAAGAGAATTTTTATATTTGAAACATATCCTTTTTATGCTACTAGTCCTTTTTTATTGCATGTTAGAGTAAAACTGAAAAAAAGACAGTAGCCCAGAGACATTTCTAGTAGCATCCAGAGTCATCTTTATTGGTGTGCATGGAAGCTGTCTAGAAAGACAAGTGTGTCAGGCTTCTATTTAAATAAATCTCTCTGAACTCAAACTGCTATGTAACAAATCATGGTAGTTGCAACAGAAATGTTCTGCTGCTGCTACTAAGTGAACACTGCCTACCAAACAAAATGCATTTAATTTTTTTATTCTATTTATTACCAAAGTAGACAACATTACATACATTATGTCAATAAAATTAAGGCTTTGTGTACAATTCCATTGTTTTGTTTTGTTTGTTAAAAAGACCATTCTATTATATATTTCCTTGTGGGCTTTATGGCTCTTGGTTTCTAAGCTAAATGCAGCTGTATAAATGTCTCTAGAAACAGTGTTGATTTTTCTAAACCCTTTTAAACTGAGATGTTCTTTCAAGTAAGGTCACAAACAGAAATCCCTATATCACTGCTAAGGGAAGTTGCATGTACTTACAACAATTCAAAGTTCCTTACAAAAATGTGTAGTTTCCCCTGGGCACAAACTTATTTGTGAAATGTTCTTTTGGATCTGCTGACCGTTATTATGACTAGAGCAGGGTGAAATTTTTTGGCCAATTTTTTTTTCATCATTAAGAATGGTCATAGTGGTCAGACAAGAGTTGGGATATGGAATGGTTAACTGGGAAGCATCCCCTAGTCTGGGTGAGGATATGTCTACACTGCGGAGTTTTTTTGGAAAAATGGCCATTTTTCTGAAAAAAATTGAGTTACATCCACACAGCAATCACATTCTTTCGAAAAAAAGTTAAAAGACCAGAGGATTTTTTCTGGCAGCTATAAACCTCTTTCTATGAGGAAGAATGCTTTTTCTGAAAGAGCTCTTTCAGAAAAAGGCATGTGTAGACGAGGAAGAGGGTTTTCTTTTGAAAGAAGAGGCCGTCAGGAAATAACACAGGTGCCCTGGTGGCCACTCCATCCAAAGTAATCACAACTCTATAGTTCCTGTCTCCTGGCACCTCTTAGAGCTACAGGCACCCTGGACAAGCCTTGTGGCAGGAAGCCGGCCTGAGATCAGCACCCTGCCCATGCAGCTGTCCCTGCCACAGGCCTTCTGACCCATGGCACAACCACAAGCCTCCCGAGACCTCCCTGGCTCTCACAGGGAACACAACCAGGGCTCCCAGGACCCACCGAGGGGTTCCAAGTGGCGGGCACCCTTGTGATCTGGCGCAGAGATCCTGCTCAGGAGACACTACAGGATCTCCGCTCCACTTGCCACAATATGAACATTTATGGCTGGATGGCCAAGTCCCTGGCAGAGCGGGGACACCTACTCCGGAACTTGAAACAGGTCCGGAGTAAGGTAAAGGAGCACCGCCAGGGATAAATGAGGGCCAGAGAGCACAGGTCAGGCTCTGGGGCAGGACCCCACACCTGCCCCTACTTCACCGAGCTGCACCAGATCCTGGAGGGTGAGGAAGCCCTTTCCCCATCCCTATTGTGGATCTGGGCTCAAGATGCCCAGTATTGCCCGCCGGGAGGTCACAGAGGACGACAAGGATGAGGGACAGTGGCCACAGTGACGACATGGCCACAGTGACGCTGTCCTTGTAGCCAGTTGCTGTGAGCCAGGATGTGTCCCAGACATCGTCTGATGCTGGGGAGGGATCTTCAGGTAAGTGATCTCAGTTTGTCACACACACAGGGTGGGGGAGGCGGGCGCAGGGCAGGAGGGGTGTGAACGTCACTCAGCCTGCTCAGGTTGGACATCATGTTGCAGTCTGTGCATGTGGAATCACATGCAGCATTATTGTGTGCCACGTGGACTCAACAGGCAGCCCCTCAGCCCACCCAGGCTCCCACTCTCAGGCTCAGGGGAGGCCACACACAAGTCTGGCCCCAGAGAGGGGGATATCCTCCCACCACCAGACACCGCTAGAAGAAGGCTAGCCACAATGGTGCAGGCACAGGCCCCGACACCCCAAGGAGTGCCACACCCAGCACACGGGCATGCCTGCACATGCAAGGCATCACCCGCTCCCACCGACAGCGCTGCAAGGCGCAGGTGTGTGTACGGGCCCCAGAGAGGGCCAGGCTGCTCCCAGCTCCTCTGCTGCCCAGGGGATCCCATTGTGGCCGGACACTTCCCTTGCCTGCTTGTCCATGGGGGAAGGAGGGAAGCAGCCAGCATGGTTCCCTGGGCACCTCAGAGCTCCTGTGACGCAGGGCCTGTTGTTCAGGCTATATATGGCCTTGCTCCTGGGACATCCCCCTGGGACATCTGGCTGAGGACTGTAAGTCGCTACTCACAGAGGAAGGCATGGCCTCAAGGACAGTGTCTGCATAGATCTGCCTCTCCCTCTTTTTATTCTCCTCAGGCAGACCAGTTGGGACTGAGGGGTAAGCCATGCCACCTGAGCCAGCTGCCTGACCCCGGGGGACCGAAAGTGCTCCAGGGTCCAGAAGGAGCTGATGAGGCAGCAGACCCTGGCACAGAAGGTCCAGGAGAACGCAGAGTGGCGGACTCGCATGTGGAACCAGCTCATGCAATAATGTGTGCCATGATGCAGGAAATGTTGGCACTCCCAGCTGCTCTCCCTGCTCCTGCCTACTACCCTCCTGCCCCCCAACTATGCCCATTCCCCCTCCCCGAGTGATGCCTCTGCTCCCTCTCCAAGCAATGCCCATGCTCGGTCCCTCTTCCCCCTCTCCTCCCCACTCCCTGTGGTCCCAGGACCCATCCAACCCCAAGTTCAACGAGGTCCCCGCACCCAAGGTGGGAAATCCAGCTACCCACCACACCACTGTCAACTCTGAGGTCCCCTCTCGCTCCCCAGCTTTTGTAAATGAAAGATAAATAGACAGTTTGTTCTGTTAAAATACAAACAGGTGTCTTTATTCTGGAGTTAGGGAAGGGGCGAATGGAGGGTTTGTGGTGGGAAAGGGATATTGGAACAAGCCAGAATAAAGACCTTAGTGGGGAGGTCCTGGGGAGAGTTACTGGGTTCCGCAGCTGCCTGAAGTCCCTCCCTTCTCAGCCAGCCTCTGCCCCAAACCCCAGTAGGAAGGCCTCCCTCTTCCTCTCCACAATGTTGTGGAGGACACAACATGCCAACATCACCTCGGGGATATTGTGCTCCCCCACATCGAGGTGGGTCAGGAGACACCAGAAACACACCTTGAGGTGCCCAAAGGTGCATTCCACCTGCATCCTCACTCAGCTGAGGTGGGAGTTATACTGGTCCTTGCTGGGGTCCAGGTGGCCAGTATAGGGTTTCTTTATCCATGGCATGAGTGGTTAGGCTGAATCCCCCATGATGCACAGTGGCATCTGCACAGCCCCAACCACAAAGTCACGGCAGGGGAAGAATGAGCCCACCTCCAGCTTGCTGTAGAAGCTCAAGTTGCAAAAGACATGGGCATCGTGTGCCCTGCCCAAGCACCCACCAGAAATGTCCGTGAACTGTTCTTGGTGGTCGACAAGGGCCTGTAGCACTATTGAAAATAGCACTTGTGGTTGATAGATTGGGCTGCTCGATGTTCAGGTGCACAAATCCAGATGTAGTTCCCATCTGTGGCTCCACTGCAGTTTGGGAACCCCAGAGCAGCAAATCCAGCCACGATCGGGTCCATGTCTCCGAGGCGATGACCCTGCGTAGCAGGATGGAATTGATGGCCCTCAACCTGCAAAAGGAGACTGAAAAACCACACAAAACAGAGAATGCGAGGGCGTGCGTGAACCCTTGGGAGGTGCTTGCCCCTTCCCCCCAACATCCCAGGAACCACTGTATATGGGGTCACCTCCACAGCAGCAGGGCTGTGTGAGGGTGGGAGGGCACAACCCCCCCAGGGATTGGGGCTTCCCCTTCTCCCTTAGGCTCCCTCCAATCCCCGCTTTTCCCAGGTTCTCCCTTTTCCAGGGTGTCGTGTTGTTGGAGGGCAGGGGCGAGCCAGGCACACAGCTCCAAAAAGGTGGCCTTCTGCATACAAAAGTTTTGGAGCCACTGCTGGTTGTCCCATCGCTCCATGACCAGCTGGTCCCACCAGTCCGAACTGGTGTCCGGCCTGCTAAAAAGCCTCTCGACTGTGGTGTTCAGTTGCACGGGTCTTGCACCCGCACACAGGGAGAGGATCTCAAGAATGAGCTTGGAGTCAAGTTTGTGCAGGGGCAGAGAGGCAGCCTGCTCAAACTACTGCAGAAACTGCATCATGGCCATGTGGGGCAATCACATGCCATGGGGCAGCTCCAGCTCCATGGCACAAAGAAAAATGCTGTGGCGTCCAAAAAAGCTGGGCAACCAAAGCAGGCACTGAGAGAGCTTTGCTGTCCCTTGAAGAAGTAGCAAGTATGCAGGAGAAGCAGAGAAACGACTGTCCGGTGGGGAGAGAGGGGGAAGGTCCCTTTAAGCACGTCTCTGCTAGGCTCTGGCACCAGCACTCGGAAGCAACTGGTGAACTGATTCTGGATGACCTTATATGCAAGATAGTGTCCACACTGATTGGACACTATCTTTCGAAAAAGCAAATCGCTTTTTCAATGCACTTTGGCAGTGTGGATGTGCTCTTTCAGAAGTTTTTCCGGAAGAGCTTCTTCCAAAAGAAGGCTGCAGCCTAGACATAGTCTCACTGTGCACTGTGTGAAGAAATACTTCCTTTTGTTTGTTTTAAATCTGTTACCTATTTATTTCATTTGGTGATGCCTATCTCTTGTGTTATGGCAGCAAGTAAATAATTTTTCCTTAATCTACTTTCTCCACACCGGCCATGACTTAATAGATCTCTATCATATCCCCTCTTAGTCTTCTCTTTTCTAAACTGACAATCCCAGTTTTATTAATCTGTCCTCATCTGGCAGCTGTTCGATCATTTTTGTTGCCTTTTCATTTTTGTCACCTAATCATTTTTGTTGCCTTTTCTGAACTTTTTCCAATGACCAGATATCTTTTTTGAGATGAGGTGACCATATCTGCATAAGGTATTCAAGATGTGTGTGCACCATGGATTTATACAGAGGCAATAAAATATTCTTTGTTATTCTCTATCCCTTTTGAAATTTTTCCTAATATTGTTTGTTTTTTTGACTGCTGCTGCACATTGAGTGGATGCTTTCAGAGAACTATCCACAGTGAGTCCAAGATCTTTTTCTTGAGTGGTAACAGCTAATTTAGTCCCCATCATTTAATACATGGAGTTGGGATTTTGTTTTCCAATCTGCATTACTTTGCATTTATCAGCAATAAAAAAATGTAGATACAAGTTGACCGAAACAATTCATGAAAACAGTTGATTTCACTCATCTGTTTTGGTCAAACAAAAACAACAAATTCTGAAAAAATATAAACAATTTTGTTTTGAAAATGTTGAAATGAAAAAAAAAGTTTTTTCAGATTAAATTAATTTTTCAACTTTTTGATTTGCCAAAAAAATGTAACTTTCATTTTGTGTTGATCCAAAAGTTTTGGTACTGCAAAGGAACTAAAAAAGTCAGTTATTTGCACCACTTTTGATGTGACAATTTTGAATGCTTCTAAATGTACACCTCAGTGCCACCAGATGGTGCTGCAGAGCAACTGTACTTTGGTTTAAACAAAATGTAATGATTTCAGAAGGCTTCTGGTTCTTTTTATTATCTAAGAGATTTATCTGACATGTTAAGCTATAATTGTTTGAATTTGATTTCTGTCTTTAACACTTACATTAACTTGCAAATAAGTGAATTGGGGTATTTCTATGCTATTTGAGAATAGAAGAAACCAGCAAGAGAACTAGAAAGAGTATTTTAAGGGGATGGTAACAGCCAGTTGGTATCATTAACTGAACAGTTCTTCATTTACATTCAGAGTTTATAAATCATCCTTATCCTAAGTTTGAAGAACAGCAAACATGGACAGAATGAACAGAGAACACGGCTGACTGCTTAAGTGATAGTCAGTCAAACTAGAGAAACACATTTACAGATGTTGGTTCTGCTTACTGAGCCATGCTGCACCTCTCTCAGAGTTACTTCTGTAAGGGTGTGTCTTCATTCAGTCAGAAGTAAAAATCTTGGAGTGCTCCTGCCACTAAATCTGATGACAGCTCCCAGAGAGAAATATCTGAATCAGGTGTATAATTTAACAGTTAGAGATGCATCTTTTGACATTGGATTAGGAGAGATGGGGAAAAGTTACTTACCTTACAGCAACTGTGGTTCTTTGAGATATGTGGTTTTTTGTCCACATATATTCCATTCTTGATCACATGCACCCCCATGTGTTTGAGATCACATTCTGTTAGCTTGTTGGAGCCATGCATGCACACTAAGGATGTGTCTACACAGCACCCTAAACTCAAATAAGAGATGCAATTTGTGCTAACCATACTGTGTTTCTTGAATCTATTTCAATTTGGTGTGTCTACGCAGCTATTTTGAGCCCTTATCCCTTGTGTAATGAGGTTTACTGGGATGTCGAAATAGTATGCCCCTTATTTTGAAAAATATTTCGAAATAATGGGCGGCTTGTGCAGATGTGGGATAGGTATTTTGGGATACCTCCAGTATCCGAAAATAGCCATGCAGTGTAGACGTACGCTAAGTCTCCTCATTCTTTCATAACAAGGGCCTAAAGGGTGCAACAGGAACAAATTCTATTCATTTCCTTCACTATGGCAGAACTCAGATATTATAAGAGCCTATGGCATTGGGTAGGATCCCAATGTGGGTCGTGGAATCAACTTGGACAATGCTCCTTGACTTCAGCTACTGTAAGATAAGTATCCTTTCTTCTTTGAATGTTTATGCATATAGGGTACGTCTACACTACATGCCTCTGTCGACAGAGGCATGTAGATTTGTTTATTCAGCAAAGGTAAATGAAGCCGCGATTTAAATGATCGCGGCTTCATTTACATTTACATGGCTGCCGCGCTGAGCCGACAAACAGCTGATCAGCTACATGACCTTGCCTAAAACACTTAATTTCTTTGTTGCTTGACCTCCCAGTTATTACAATGGAGATAATACTTACCTTTGCAAAAGTGGTTGAGCTGTAAGGTTACAAAATATTTATGTGGCCATTATCCATTGTTAAGAATTTTTGAAGCCTTGAATCTACAGAGATCCAGAACTATAATTTAGTGAGTGCAGAGGAAAGCCAGCTGTTTGTCGGCTCAGCGCGGCAGCCATGTAAATGTAAATGAAGCCGCGATCATTTAAATCGCGGCTTCATTTACCTTTGCCTACAACCCTAATCTACATGCCTCTGTTGACAGAGGCATGTAGTGTAAACACAGCCATAGAGTCTACGCTTGGTGACTAACAAGCATCTCCCTGAAACAAGGGAGGATGAATGGAAACCACTTAGACAAAGACTGCAGCACAGCTCCACCAAAAGCTACATCAGATCTTGATCTTTATGCTATTTACTAAAAGTCTGGACTGAACCCCTAGTAACCATGTGCTCAGATTTAGACAAGTCCTTACAATAGTAGGAGGATACTTTTAAAGATGAATGGCAAAGTTGGGCATAACTTCCAACCTCTCCTGGAACAGATAAGCTCTTTTTGCTGTGGGATTTAATGCTACCCCTACAAGTCCTATACTCTGTAAAGGTATCATCTGTGATTTTTCTCTGTTGATTTTCCAACTGAGGTCAAAAAGAGTTGGAGAATGAAGAAAATCAAACTTTCTTCCTGTATCAGTAATTTCCTTTGGATACTTCAGTCATCTATTTATGGGTGAAATACTATTCCTTATCTCCATAGGTGATCAGCAACACTAGACATGCTCAGGAAGTTTATTTATTTGTGTAGGTCAGGAAATGTTGATTCATCAGAAATGTAGACATACCCTTGGAGCGAGAATAATGAGTCTGCTCTACAGCCCCAGCTGAGGGCCAACTGATCTTTACTCCAAGCTGTAGAAGCTCATGCACTAAGCTCCAGAGGTCCCAGGTTTGATTTCACCTGTCAGTGCTCTGCCAACACTGTTTGCTTAATTATTACTTAAATAATTTCATGGGAAGGGATCAGTTTCAATGAACTTTCTATTTTAAAAACACTTAAGTTCCCAGTTTTCAAATGTCTTCTTCAAGATTTTCAGAATGAAAAATTCTATTTTTTCCTATTCAGAATGACTTTCTGTTTAGAAATGTAAGTTAATGTATGCTTAAGAAAGGTCAAAATCAAAACGAAACCTTCTGAAGTTATTGAAACCAAATTTTTTAATAACTTCAATCAGGTTTTATTTATGGGGGTGGGGGAAGGAGTGGAAATGGGGAGGAGGGTTTGTGAATTTTTTAAAGATTTCAACTTATTTTCCACCCTGAGGAATTGGAATGAAGTCAAAATCTCATATAGTCTCATGGAACATAAAAACTGTTTCTTGTCCTGCTCTAGCAACTACTGGTAGAACTTTGGCAGATATCCTGAGTGATGGGTTAAATCACAGAAATCCCTTGGGTGTTGTCTGTCCCCTGCTGTGCTGTTCATGCCACTGTTGCCCACCTACCTGCTTTCAGGGACTTCCCATCACTCTATCCTGCTGGGCCAGAAGCTCTGGTCTCCCTGAGAAAAGACATACGAGATTGGGTTACTGCCTTCCTGCAGAATAACACAGATGTTGAATCAGTTCAGCCCCAGGAGAGCTCAGCTATAAGGGCTCAGCAGCCAGGAAACCAACCCCCTAATGAGACCAAAACCCCAAACAAGTCCATCTTACCCTGTGTAAAAGTTTTACACAGAGAAAGCTGATAAGGAGGTCAGCCAAGCTTATCAATGAAAGAGAGAGGTGAACAGAAATTGCTTCCTCCCCCAGGTAACAGTTATGTGATGAGTTTTACTGGGGCAGTCGACAAAGGCTTTTGATGTCGACTGTGGAGCGTCCAGACTACCGCACTGTGCTGACAAACAGCTGATCGGCACAGTGCGGCAGCCATTTTGATGTAAATGAAGCGGCGATTATTTAAATCGCCGCTTCAATTTGCTACATCTACAAAGCTCATCTACATGGCTCCGTCAACTGAGCTATGTAGTGTAGACATACCCTTGGAGAGAGAATAATGAGTCTGCTCTACAGCCCCAGCTGAGGGCCAACTGATCTTTACTCCAAGCTGTAGAAGCTCATGCACTAAGCTCCAGAGGTCCAGGTTTGATTTCACCTGTCAGTGCTCCGCCAGCACTGTTTGCTTAATTATTACTTAAATCTTTTGGGTGGGGGGTGAGTGAAGAGGACTGGCTAGCCAGAAAGACAGAGGGTCCCTGAAGAAAAGAAGGAAGCAGGGGAGCACGGAGAGCTGCTAGAGGGAGGCAGAAGAAAGAAGGCCATGAAGGAGCTTACAGCAAACAGCCAGTCACTGACAGGAAGAGTCTTTCCAGACTATTAATCAGAGCAAGCAGTCTCCTGATATCCTAAGTGTCAGCCCTGCCTAGACCACTTTTGACAGCTACTCTGCAAACTTCAGTCTCTGGGAGCATGTCTACACTAGGAAATTATTTAAAAATAATTCCCGATTTTACAAAATCCAAATAGTATGTCCCCAAGGCTGGCTTCGTTATTGTGGACACGCTCCCAATTTTACAAAATCCAAATAGTGTGTCCCCAAGGCTGGCTTCATTATTGTGGACACGCTACCTTGACTTAGAGCCCCAGGAAGCACTGAGGAGTAATTACTTTGAATGACTCTGGGGAGTAGTTATTTCAAAATGGCAGCAGGGGAGCATCCACACTAGTGCTATTTCGAAATAAACATTATGCCCTGAGGAAAGCAGGTGTACAGATTTCAAAATAACCAGCCCCTTGCTTCAAAATAATGGGCTTGGTAGTGTGCGTGCTCCGCTTTTTATTTTGAAATAACTCCCTACTGTAGAGCAGGGCGGGCTGGCTCCTCCCTTCAATTCCTTTGCAAAGGCCAGCAGGAGGGCAGCTGTTGCCGGGTCATCAGGTTTCCAGCGAGTGGGTTTTCCTGCACAGCTCTGGGCCAAAGGGACTCTGGAAAGGGCAGGGGATATCCCCAACTGGGTTGCATCTCCCCCTTTCCCACACACTCAGGCTACATCTACACTGTGAGTTTTCTCAGCAAAAAACATGCTAATGAGGGACTCGTTTGCATGAGTCATGATCTCATTTGCATATTTCTGCAGATCATTTTTGTGCTAGGGTTTTTGCACAAAAACAAGCAGTGTGGATGTTTTCTTTTTGTGCAAAACTCCTTTTTCTTGCTAGATCCTTATGCCCCCCAAAAAGGAGGTTTACCAATTTTGCAGAAAAAGGGGTTTTGTGGAAATAGTTAATGTTTTGTATTCATGCTAGTGATTCCCATAGACAAAAGTGCTTATAATAGGTTCTAATTAGAATATGCAGATGATCTCTTAGCAGGTCTCAGACTGCAGCAATGGTGAAAGCTTGGGTCTCCATTATGACTTCCATAATTTTCAATCTTTTGCTCAGCTCCTCAAGGTCTAAGACTGCCCCGAGTCCTACAGATCTTCCTCTTACCATGAAACGAGGGGTTCTGCTCCCCAGTTAGCTCTAGGAAATGCAAGGTCTCTTTCAGGATGAATTGATACTTCTCTCTTGAAATGGGAATGAGATATGGAGAAGCTTGGAGCACTTGTGATGTGTGGTCTCCTGTGTCCCTCTATCTGAAGCAAATTGGATCTAGGTATCTGAGCAATCAGATATCCTTCCCATTAGTCCCAGACAGATCACATTTCAGTCATAATGACTGGAGTAGAAGAAAGAGAGTTAGAGCCATTCCTCAACTGGCCTTCCCTCTGCTGTTCCAGGTCCTTGAAATAAGATAAGTCCTTCCTTTGGCATCTTATGTGTTGGTACAAACAAAAGGAACTTCAGTCCTTGTACATGGCCATGTAGTCCTCCTTAAAATTTGCTGAAGTTGGGAACAAACACTTTGACTTGCTGAGTATCAGTTATCACATTAATCAAGCTTCTTCCTGGACAGGATTCCACTTAAAAATTTTAAAGCAATGAGGATTTGCTTTGAATAAATAAATCTCTCCAGCTATACAGTCAAATCAAGCATAATCCCTTCTTTCCTCCCAGGTTACTTGGGAGCAGACAACCTTCACCAGTGCCTGATGTTTTTAATATTAAAGGAGATCCTGAGTGTCCCAGTGGAGATGTTGGATAGTTGGGGATTCCCTCCCTTCCCCTTTACTGCAGTCCCTTGCTTCTAAAGGAATATAAAATTGGTCCTGCCGGGAGGGCAGGGGACTGGACTGGACAACCTCTTAAGGTCCCTTTCAGCTCTATGATTCTATGATAAAATGGCAGTGCCTCTACCTGGCTGGCCCTGTACACACTTAATGGTATGCCTTGGGAACCTCCAGGAATAAAGTCATTCCAGTAATATTCTGGATCTAACTCCCAAACAACAATTATAAATAATATGCACCTAATTGATTAAATTAGAATTAGCACACCTTTACTTTACCACCTAAAGAAACAGGGTTGAACAAACTAAAACTGAATAAAAACAATTAAGATACATAGAAATAAACGAAATTTGTCTTACTGGCATTTACATTGCCAATATTTATCCCACCTCAGTGTGTACTCCTCTGGATCTCAGAGTCCCAGACACTTGCTTGACTGGGCGAGCTTGAAGATTTGCAGCTGGAGCGGAGACAGCTCTGGGTAGGTTCTGTGTGTGTCAGTCCAGGCAGGCAACAACTGCAAAATCCCTCTGACACTGGAGCAGGCCCCACCAAATGCCATCAACTCTGGTTTACTGGCCAGATCACTCTGCCTCTCTTTGGGCCAAGACACAGTCTGTCTTCTGTGCTCCGTCCAAGGCAGCACTCTCCCAAACACCCACAGTTACTTCTATGCAGGCTCTTCCTAG